TTATCTTCTCTCAAATGTCTTTCAGCAGAATATCCATCTTAATACGAAGGATAATAGACTTTCAAATGGAAGCCGTTAAAGGGGGAAGGAGAAGAGTATAATGGCTAAAACAATATGATATGATATGCAACTAAAATGCTTTTCATATAATAATAAATCAATAAATGTGTTTAAATAATTAAACATGATTTATTTCTTATCCTGGTATTTTTTGTTTGCCCTGGTATATGTTTTGAATAGAAAAATGAGCTACTATCAAACCAAACATGGTCTATCTTATGAAGCCATGGAATTTCAGCAATCCAGTATTAAATTACTTCCAGACAGCACAGCCTTGCTCTGTCTATACTGCTTTTCCTAAAGGATTCTCAATTCCTAAAATAGCTGTCTTCTTTGTAAAGTGATGAGGCAGATTTCCAGGTTAGGTGGTAAATCTGTCAGATTTTTCCATGTATTTCCACTCGTAACTAGATGAGCGTCCATATCCTCGTCTGAAAAAGAATATTCATATTCATCTTTGGTGGTTGTTGCAAGGACTAAATAAGATAGAGTAAAACTACCAAACACGGTACCTAGCATATAGAAGGCATCCAAGAAATGTAACTTGAATCTGAGCATTGTGATCCAGCCTAGAGTCCTACAGCTTCAAGATGCATGTTTTGTCACTGGTCCATTATATGCAAGACTCAACAATTAACTATTATCTATTTTTTCCTTCTTTAGATCCCTTTCCAAATACTCTGAGAGAAGTTCAAGTAGAGATTATAAGCAATGATGTATGCAACAAGGTTCATGTATATGGTGGTGCTGTGTCATCAGGAATGATATGTGCTGGATTCTTGGAAGGAAAATGAGATGCCTGTGAGGTAAGAATAGACTCAAATCCACAAAAATGACTGTTAAGAAGACATGAACTTGCTGACCATAGACCAATGTCATTTCACATAATTTCATGAAATTAAATTGTAGAAAAGAGTGTATGAACCATAAAAAATAATCCTGGTTTAACACCCTATTATTGTTTACCACCATATGTAAAAAATGGCCACCAGATGCAAATTAGGACTATGATTAGAGAGATGACCTGGAAGCAGATAGTAGAAACCAGTTCAGGTAGCCATACAATTATGGCTTCAAGCTATAGTCAATATCTAATCCTCACTAATTGCAAGGTGCTGTGGGATGAGGACTACAGATGTCACCATGGCCAATCGAGAGTTGTCTCACTGGTGCCTAAACCTTTAACCTTAAAATAGGGCACATCCAGATAGAATTACACTATTTGGAAACAAACAAACAAAAAACCTTATTTATCTACACTTATTCATTATTAAGTGTTTTGTGACTTACCAATAAAATCTAGAAACTAATTAAATAACTTTTCCCCACCCATATATAGCTTTAATTTTAAGCATTAAGCATTTAAAGAGAATGTCGTTTTAAAGTCTAGATATTCAAAGGACTAAAAATAGATAACTAAAATAGTAAATATTTTACATACAGCATTTGAGACTGGGCTCAACAAGTTAGCAATTTTTTGAAGTATTAGAAACGGCTTTTGAGAATTTTGGAGCCCTGGTAGCACAGTGGTTAAGAGCTCGTCTGCTCACCAAAAGGTCAGCAGTTTGAATCCACTACCTGCTACTTGGAAATCCTAGGGGACAGTTCTACTCTGTCCTATAGGGTCTCTATGATTCTGAATTGACTGGATGGCAATACAAAGGTGCCACTATTGATCTGCCATTGGCTGTTTGTTATGAGATAGTAATAAACATTCTATTACTTTTTTTTCAAAATTATGCCAGGGAATGTGGCAGTTACTGGAGGAAACATAAAGTTCATATAAAAAAAAAATAATCTATTTCCACAAGGAATTTACAATCTAATAGCACAAAGTAACTAAAACAAAACAAAACAAAAACCAAACAGATCAGGAGTTGGCTACATTCTCTGAAGTCTCACTTCTCTCCCTCGAGCCGTCTGGGGTAGAGAGAAGCAGAAGCAACACCTGTGATCCAAAACACAACTTGATCACATGACCTTAGAGGAGAAACATAATAAATATATATAGGAGCAGATGTTCTCTTTCCACTGGATTTTTTTTTTTGGGGGGGGTGGGGGGAAGTTCACTTTCCCTTGCTCCTTTTTACCACTAGGATAGTAAAATGGTGAGGACCTAAATTAGGATGTGGGCCTAAGGGAAAGGAGCTGAGGATGAATGTTTTGGGTGTAGGCTAGGGTTTTCTCTGTCCACTGAACATTGGAGGTTACTTACTAAGAAGTATGGGAAGAGAAGGGAAGGGGAGTGAACTAAAGGCACAAGGCTTTAGACCTCGATTCCTGATTCAAACGAGACAATTTCTTTTATGAAGAAGTCTGTGTTAGGCTGCCACATAATATTTCCTTTTAGTGAATAGTTGTTGTTAGGTGCCCTTTGCATGTCTTTCTCCTCTCAAGTCTATTGCTGCACAGGGTACTGCAACCAGGATACCTTGCTCTCAGCTAGTGTGAGTGGAGTAACAAGGTGTAATTCAAATTCAAAGCGAGGGGTTTTTTTCTGTCTAACAGATTTAGAAGCTTCATGGAGGAGGTGACATTTTAGTTGAGTCTTGAGGTTATCATTTAGGTAAGAACTGGCTGCCTGGGCTTAGGTTCAGTTTGTGAACATTGTTTATACAGAGCAGAAATAAAACTTTTACAAGAATAAAACTGAAACCTTGGCTTTATTCACATTACCTTCCAGATGAGGTCATTAACAGACAGTAAGTAGTAAGTAATGCTAATGGTAAGTAAAATAGTATTATTTATGCAGATATCAATACAAAATATTAATTTATTAGACTTTCAGCTGATTAACTTTCATTTCTGACACCCCTTGATTGATCGCATTGACCATATTTTTTTTTTTCTTCTTCTCCAGGGTGATTCTGGAGGACCTCTGGTTATTGCACGTGATACAAACATCTGGTATCTTATTGGAATGGTAAGCTGGGGAATAGACTGTGGGAAAAAAAAACAAACCTAGACTTTATACCAAAGTGACTTGTTACTGGGACTGGATTAAATCTAAAACGAACATCTGATGCAACAGTCATGAGTGCTTGTGGGTTATGAGTGGGTATCTAGCAAATTGTGTTTAGTATGTGTTGCATGTGTACTGTTATCAACTCTCCCCTTAAACATGAGGAAGGCAGGCTTTCTTTCACATCATCTGATGTGTTTTGCTTGTCATGGGCAAGAAGATACTGTCAACTCCACAAAGATCTGCCATTGCTGATAAGTATCTCTGGTTACTTCCTTGCTCATCTTTGTGTTCCTACTGTACACTACCCATTTTAGAATAATCCAGCAGTTTAATCAGATAAGTACCAACTGGTTAAGCAGTCTCTACGTTTTCACTGACAGAGCATGCTGCCTTACCCTGATGAATTCATAGTTTTTGTACTCCTCATCAAATAATCCTCATTAAGAATGTGTGGATACACTGTAGTAGGCAAATCAAGGGAATTAGTTTTGGTCAACGCTAACATAAATGATGGTGGTGGGAGAGGGACACTAGATATGAAACCGGGTCACAAGAGGTGGCACTACTGTGAGTCCTCTCTCCTTTGCCCTTAGATGTGCCCTCTCCTTGGAATTCGGAAAAAGTTGACAGTTATATTGACACCAATAGTTCAGAATTTAGTCTTTAAACAACTACAATGACGTTTACTCTGGAGCAATACATAAATCTTTGGATCAAACACCAGGAAACTGGAGATATTGCCTAGCATAGGATTCTGCTCTACATAATGTAAAAGTGCCTTTCAATACTTAGAACTTAAAGGCAAAGTTTCTTGGCCTTTTATTAAGCGGAAATGAGAAGAAGAGGCAAGGACTCAGTGAGAAGGAACTAGTTTCAGCCCCCTCTCTAAAAAATGGGAGAAGATCCAATCCTAATGTAAATTGACTTTTCATTTCTGTTTCATTATGAGTGACTTTTGAAAGCAATACCAGTTGCTATCGAGTCTATTCCAACACCATAGAACTGTTCTCCAAAAGGTTTTCAACCGCTGATTTTTCTCAAGTAGATTGCCAGGCCTTTCTTTCAAGGAGCCTCTGGGTGGACTCCAAACTCCAGCTTCTCTGTTAGCAGCTGAGGGTATTAACTGTTTGCACCACCCAGGGACTCCATTTAAACAGAGAGATTTCTCTTAATGCATTTTATTTTCTTAACAGTTTTATTTTCAACAAACTCTAAAGCAATTAAGAGACCCAAAGAATGGGAGGCCAATAAAAATTAGATATTCAAAAACAACCTTAAATGAGGAGCCAATATAAAATTAGACATCACTGAACAATTTTTTTTATTGTGCTTTAAGTAAAAGTTTACAGTTTAAGTCGGTTTCTCATATAAAAATTTATACACACATTGCTATGTGACCCTAGCTGCTCTCCCGATAATGTGACAGCACGCTCCTCCTTTCCATCCCAGATTTCCCATGTCCATTCAACCACCTCCTGTCCCTGTTTTGCCTTCTCATCTCACCTCCAGACAGGAACTGCCCATTTAGTCTCATGTATCTACTTGAGCTAAGAAGCACTCTCTTCATGAGTATCATTTTATGTCCCATAGTCTAATCTTTGAAGAGTTGGCTTCGGGAATGGTTTCAGTTCTGGGCTAACAGAGAGTCTGGGGGCCATGTCTTCTGGGGTTCCTCCAGTCTCAATTACTGAACAATTTGACACAAAATTTTGGTAAAGACTTTAATGTAATTGGTAAAGATTTTTATTGTAAATATTTAGATTTACTGTTAAAAATATCAGGTATTTTGCACAATGGTATTTATAGAGAATATTTAAATAATCAAGAAAGCATCTTTGTAATGGTTTTGTTGTTGTTGTTAGCTGCTGTCTAGTTGGCCCCCAACTTATGGCAGCCCCATGCACAACAGAATGAAATGCTGCCCAGTCCTGTCGCATTCCTATGATGAATTGCTCATCAGACCATTATGATCCATAGAGTTTTCACCGGCTGATTTTCGGAAGTAGACCACCAGGTCTTTCTTCCTAGCACATCTTAGTCTGAAAGCCCTGCTGAAACCTGTTCAGCTTATTAGCAACACGCAAGCCTCCAGAGACAGATGAGTGGTGGCTGTGTATGAGATGCACTGTCCAGGAACTGAACCCAGGTCTCCCGCACTGAAGAATTCTACCACTAAACCACTAATGTCCTCATATTTGGAATGGCTTAATTATTATGACAAAATGGTCATCTTCATTCGTATTTAAATGCATATTTTGTGGGACTTACATTGACTGTGGACTAGTGTTCAACAAAGATCAAGCTTTTTCTGTCTGATTCTGTGCATATTAACATTTATTTGCTTCCTTCCCCCTTTTATATTTAATTTAATGAAATAACTGTTTGTGTTAAGATATTCTTTTGTGTTTTATATCCAGTAAGAGTCTCTCTTGCCCCATATAATATTATACTGTATACATTAAAATATATTTATGGTAATAAACTCAAACTCATTCTTTCTGAATCATAACTATAATACAGAATTTCTCAACCTTGGCACTACCGACATTTTGGTACAAGAATTATTTGTTGGAGGGGGGCTACCCTGTATACTGTAGGATGTTTAGCAACATTTCCTTTCCTCTACACATCAAATGACAGTTGTAAAAAACAAAATCATCTCCAGATATTGTCAAATATTCCCTGGGGGCAAAATCACCACTAGTTGAGAACCACTGCAATGGGATCAATAGTTGGAGGGAAAAAAAAAAAAATCACTGTTAAAAATTATGCAACTCATCATTTTCTTACATGTGTTTAGAAATATCTTTCTTCTCATTTTTATAATGTTGACTCATTGAAAATGCTGAAAGACCATCTATCATGACCACACACATATTTATACAATCTTAACCCAATTAAGATCTTTGAGAACTGAATCTAGCTGGAAGAAGGAGTTTGTCTGAAGATTAAGATGCTACAGGCAAATAATTCATACACACACACACACACACACACACACATACACACACACACAGAGAAGTGAGTTACTTTCAAGTACCTAAATCCTGAATAATCGCACAGGCATACTCTATTTAGTATTCTCAGAATGCATAATAGATATTACTTGAGAAGGTGTTATGTGGCTGACGCAGAGTGGCTCAGTCCATCACCGACTAACACTACAAAGTGGAGTATAGACAATCGGATAGCATCACTAAGCACTAAAAGCTGTACTGTCCAATTGGTAGTCATTAGCCAGATGGGGCTATTTAAATTTAAATTAATTAAAATTAAATCAGATGAAAAATTCATTTCTTCAGTCATTCTAGTCACATTTCAAGCACAAAATAATCAATGTGGCTAGTAGCTACCATATTGAGCAGCACAGATATAGAACGGTTCCATCATCACAGAAAGTTCTACTGGACATCATTGACCCAGTGCATTCTATGCAGTCACTTACATAATCACTTATTCATTCATCTAACAAACATTTCTTGAACCTCTACTATGTGTCATGCACGACTCCAGACCTTGGGTATACAAATGTGAATAAAATCAAGTCCCTGTTCTCAAGTTCAGATAAAGAGGTAAAGTGTTTTTAATAACTGCCACTGAAAATAGTAGACCTTTTGGGGAGTGTGGTTGGCCAGGCATAGCATAGCCACTTTAAGACTCTCATTCCTCTACTGGCACTAGGTCCACTAGTGGAATTGGGCATTTCTGTATGAGCTATAGCAGGCCCACCAGAGATCCACCAGAGAGGTGAGATTCAAGTGGTCAGAAACTAGTTTCTCGACCTTCCTTACAAAACGATTCCAGAATTTCCCACAATTGATAGTATATTAGAGAATCAAAAAAGTTTTGTTTTGTTTTTTTTCATCAGGAGGTTATTTCTTATTAGTGAGAAAGATACAATAATGGCAACCAAACAAAGCAGTAACAATTAATGCAGGAGCATCAGAGTGATTTAGGCACAAAAATTAAAAATATCAAATAATATTTTAAGCAAACAGCCAACCCAAATAAAACAAGGATTGGATTGTACAATCTGTTAATGTCATTTTATTGTAGTTTAATCCTGGAAATGTGGACCATACCTATGATCATTAAAACACTACAGGAAAGAAACTTAGACCCAAATGTGTTACTGTACTGCCATCTCCTGGTCCATGTTATTTTTAAAATATACTTTATTGTAATTTCATTTCACGTTATAAAGTTATACAGGCTCTTTTCCAACATAGTGTAGTATGAAGAAAAATCTTATAGGTGAGAGTAGAACTGCCCCATAGGGTTTCCAAGGATTCCCTGGTAGATCTGAACTGCTGACCTTTTGGTTAGTAGCCATAGCAATTAACTACTACACCACCAGGGCTCCATCTTGAACTGGAATGTGTAGGAAAGGTAAGTGGATGAAGCCTAGAGTGGAATGAGGGAATAGGTGGGAGAAAAACTTTTTAAGTGTCCCCCACCCCCAACACCCTGCCTTGTGCTGTATTGGCTTGAGACAATCTTTGCCTATATTTCTTACCAGAAACCAGTCACAACAGTCCAGACCACCAATTTAGGAAGTATCAGGGCAAAATCTCACTGAGGGGAAGAGTTTTTTAAAAAGGTGGTATCTTAGTTATCTAGTGCTGCTGTAAGAGAAATGCCACAAATTAATGGCTTTAACAAACAGAAATTTATTCTTTCACAGTCTAGTAGGCTAGAAGTCCAAATTCAAGGTGCCAGCTCCAGGGGAAGGCTTTCTCTCTCTGTCAGCTCTGGGGGAAGATCCTCGTCATCAATCTTCCCCTGGCCTAGTAGCTTCTCAGCACAAGGACCCCGGCCCAAAGGACACACTCTGCTCCCAGCACTGCTTTCTTGATGGTATGAGGTCTCCCTGTCTCTCTGCTCTCTTCTCCCTTTTATATCGCAAAAGAGATTGAGTTAAAACACAACCTAATTTTGTAGATTGAGTCCTGCCTCATTAACATAACTGCCACTAATCCCACTTCATTAACATCATAGAGGTAGGATTTACAACACTTAGGAAACTCACATCAGATGACAAAATGGTGGACAATCACACAATACGGGGAATCATAGCCTAGCCAAGTTAACACATATTTTGGGGGGACACAATTCAATTCATAACAGGTAGCAACTAGTCAGCTACTTTCAGACATTCTCTTTCCCACCTTCACCCTTCTCACCCTCCAGGGCATTAACGTTGAAGAAGACTGATTTCTTCCAGCGCTGCTTTACTCTAAGAGTTTATCAGTGAAACTCCCTTTACAGGAGTTGGTTGGTGGAGGGTCAGCAAATGGGAATGATCAATAATAGTTACTGTGGCCCCTTGGCCTCTATTATTTCAGGGCTCCATCATCCTCATGGATGAGTGTACCTCTGTGACTGCTTCTCCTCGTCTCTGACGTGGCCTACAGAGAAGAGCCACCACTGAACTTTTCAGTGATACTCAAGCCCTTTCACCAGTTCATTTCTAATGGCTCTGATAAATGATATGTCTTCTGGGCCCTCACATGGAATGTATTCCTCTGATGGGTCTTCTGGTT